TGTGTGGGTACATCACACTCATTGTCTCTCTCAGCACTCCTCTTTCTCACCCTCATCTCTCTTGCATTTCTGTGTGAAGACAGCATTTCTCTTTGACATCTGAACAGATTTACAAATGTGCAACACTGCTGCTTTTGTCAGGAACAGGCCTGCTTGGACCTGCTCACATGAAGCTGCTGTTGCCACCACTTAATAAACGTTCACGCGAGCAGTTTTTTGTGTAGACATAAATTAAAGGAGACAGTAGAGTCGCATGCAGCCATCCAGGCCAAAAATAGCTCAAGTGTTGGGCTAATGTCATAGCACTGCGAAAAAAGACAATTGTAGCACGGTTTTGTGATCAGTAGTAAATCTTCATCCAAAGGCCAAAATAAAGCCCAAATATGCCCCGCAGAAGAAAGGTAATGCACGTTCTTCCAGGAAACAAGATTGAACTGCTTTCATTGATTAAATGTGACTATTAAACACAGGACTACGACAACATATGGTTTATCTGGACATTCAGACGATTCGACTTGGCTATGCGATTCAGTTCGCCAGGCATCCCCTCAGGTTCAGGGCCATTCTTTTCACCTTGGTGTCAGACAAAGATGCCCCTGTTCTGTGCACGGAGATTGCGGTCCTCTTGGCGAAGGACGCAATAGAGCCAGTCCCTCCAGCTGAGATGAAGTCAGGATTTTACAGCCCTTCATTGTACCCAAGAAAAGTGGTGGGTTACGACGATCCTGGATCTACGTATCTTGAATCGGTTCCTGCACAGGCTCCCGTTCAAGATGTTGATGTAGAAACGCATTTGCAGCAATCAACCTGAAGAACGCGTACTTTCATGTTTCGATTTTGTCTTGACACAGACCGTTCCTGCGGTTTGTTTTCGAGGGTTGAGCATGTCAGTACAAGGTCCTCCCCTTCTGCTGTCCTTGTCTCCCTGCATATTCACAAAAGTAGCAGAGGGTGCTCTTGCCCTATTATGGGAGCAGGGCATCCAGATCTTCAACTGTCTTGTCAACTGGCCGTTATTAGCTCACTCGTGAGATGAGTTGTGCGAGCACAGGGATTTGGTGTTCAGGCACCTCAGCCAGTTAGGGCTTCGGGGCCAACCGGGAGAACAGCAAGCTCTCCCCTGTGCAGAGCATCTCTTTTCTCGAGATGGAGTTGGACTCGGTCAATATGATGGCACGACTCATGATCGTTTGTGCCCAGTAGGTGCTGGCCAGCCTGAATTCATTCAGGGGAAAAGCAGTGGTCACACTGAAACAATTTCAGAGGCTCCTGAAGCATATGGCATCCATAGCCTCAGTAACATCGCTCGGATTGATGCATATGAGGCCGCTTCAACACTGGCTGCACAGTGGAGCCTCAAGATGGGTATGGTGCAAGCTGTGGTCGAATCACATCGGATGATTATTACTTCGATTTGTTGCCGGTTATTCAGCGCGTGGTCAGACCTTGCTTTTCTATGGACAGGAGTGCCCTTAGAACAAGTGTTAAGTTGTTGTTACAACAGGTGCCCCCAGTACGGGCTGGGGCACTGTCTGCATCAGGTATGCACCTTTGGGCTCCTGGACAGGACCTCGGCTGCAGTGACATATCAGTTGCCTAAAGTTGCTAGCAGTATTGTTGGCCCTACACCAGTTTCGACCACAGCTTGTAGACAAGCATATGCTCGTCTGGACGGACCGCCCGCCTTCTCCTCCTCTGGAGTCAATCGCAAGTCACTGTGAGCCATTCACATCCTGGGGGAGCACAACCATACAGCTGATATGCATTCACATCAGCTTACGCTCCCGGGAGAATGGAGATTCCATTCCAATCTGGTTTAGCTGATTTGAAGTCGATTCCGGAAAGCCCAGGGTGAACCTGTTTGCTTCCCAGGAGTCCTCCCATTGCCAGCTGTTATACTCCCTGACCAAGGCCCCCCTCGGCATGGATACGCTGGTGCACCACTGGCCCTGGGCCCCAGTAAGCCTCCTTGCACAGTCCCTGTGCAAGATCAGGGAGGTGCCCTATTGGCCCACCCAGAACTGTTTTTTGGACCTAATGCTCCTCGCGACAGCCCCTCCCTGGAGAATCCCCCTGAGGAAGGACCTTCTTTCTCAGGGACGGGGCAGGATTTTGCACCTGTGTCCGGATCTTTGGAACCAACATGTGTGGCTCCTGGATGGGATCCGACAAACTTAAATGATCTATCACAGGCTGTGATAGACACTATCACTCAAGCTAGAGCCCCCTCTATGAGGCAGGCTTATGCTTTGAAGTGGAGTCTGTCCATTGATTGGTGTTCTTCTTGCTGAGAAGACCCCCAGAGATCTAGCACTTAACAGCTCCGCATCACAGCATGAGTGCCACCGTCCTGATGTGAATTACCTCTGTCCCGACCGAGGGCTGAGCACCTGTGCAGACAGACTCTGGCGGAGGGCCGCCGTACTTTCGCTGACCTGTAGTGACATCAAGGGTGTAGCCTGTTCTCTCAAGCAAAGTCTGAAAAACACGACCAAACCAATCAACACAGGTGCTTGTTTCACTGAAGTGAAATGTTAAATAAAAATCCTTTTGTGGAATCTAGAACTTTGGTCCCCTGTTTCTCTCTCTGCCTGTAGGTCTTCATCACTCCACAGAGAAAGGCACTTTTGTTCTGGGTGAAAGCAAGAGAGTGAGTTAGTAAAACCTTCCCAAGTTTCACTACACTGACTCAAAGAGCAGAGCGAGAACACTTACTTGCACATGGGATAGGTCACTCTCTTTAAACTGGACAAGAACTTGCAGTGCACCTTCCTCATTGAACTCTTTCAGTGCTTCAATGGCCCTCTCATCCAGTTCACTGTGCTCCACAAGGCCTGCAGGGAGAAAACCAGGGAAACCTCAGTGTAGCCGAGAGATGTGACGATCTGCAGGATCACACTGCTGTGTGAATGACGCGTGAAGAAGGTGAAGCTCACATGAGCAGGTGCTGGAGAACCGAGACACTTCTGCTGTCCACCAGAGGAGAGACGTCAAAGCAGGAGTGTATCTCACTCGCATGTCTTCTCAGCAAACTGTGAACACAAACACTCCTGTGCAAATCATCCACAGTCTGAGCTGGTGCCCAACACGCTCCAGCAAACAGGGCATGTTCTGAAAGCACGTACGGCATAATGCACATTCAGCTGATCATTACTGCAAAATAAAGCACCTAGATATTACCAGCTAGATATTATCATTATTGATATTATAGACATTATTTGGTAATAGTATATTTATTATTACCTAATAAATAAATACTAATGAAATATTGATTAAATATTGAGACTAAATTATCTTAAAGGGTTAGTTCACACAAAAATAATTAATTAGCTGAAAATGTGCTCACCATCAGATCACCCAAGATGTGGATACAAACAGCTGATAAAAACATCACAATAATCCACAAGTAATCCACAGCACTCCAGTCCATCAGTTAACATCTGGAGAAGACAAAAGCTGAAACACATCCAGCATTAAGATGTTTTTAACTTCAAACCATTGCTTCTGACTAAAATACCAAGTCCATAATCCATAGTAATCTGTGCGTATTTCTCTCAGACCAGATGATTTTCTCATTGGAGGAAGCATTATAATGGATTATTGATTTATGGACTTATTTTAGCTAGAAGATGTGGCAAACGTTATGATGCATTTGTTTATTAAACATGCAGCTTGTGGATTAGTTACATTACTTGTGGATTATTTTTATCAGCTGTTTGGACTCTCATTCTGACAGCACCCATTCACTGCAGAGGATCCATTGGTGAGTGATGCAATTGCATTGTGTGTGTGTGTGTGTGTGTGTGTGTGTGTGTGTGTGTGGCAAGGCTAAAATGGCAAAACGGAAGTCTCAAAATCCAATTCAGAAAAAAAAACGATTCAGAAAAGAAATGAATGAATGCACGTGTGTCGCCTGATCCAAATGCACATCTTAATTGCTGCATGCACAAATGATGACACATTAATGCAAAATATAACATTTGCATTTACAAATATGTCTCTATTTGAATAAAATGCTGCACATTCATGTAATTCTAATCGATGGGTGCACACATTAATGAATAGCACTGGGGCTTATTCATTGGTAGCTGTTTGTGTGTGAGTTGTGAAGTGCTGAAAACCATGGAAAGAAAGTCTCAAAATCCAAATAAATCAAATAGGATTGACTCAGAAAAGACATCACCAAATGCACACATGCCACTTAATCCACATGTGTGTGTGTGTGTGTGTGTGTGTGGATTGTGCAAGGCTAAAATGGCAAAACGGAAGTCTCAAAATCCAATTCAGAAAAAAAAACGATTCAGAAAAGAAATGAATGAATGCACGTGTGTCGCCTGATCCAAATGCACATCTTAATTGCTGCATGCACAAATGATGACACATTAATGCAAAATATAACATTTGCATTTACAAATATGTCTCTATTTGAATAAAATGCTGCACATTCATGTAATTCTAATCGATGGGTGCACACATTAATGAATAGCACTGGGGCTTATTCATTGGTAGCTGTTTGTGTGTGAGTTGTGAAGTGCTGAAAACCATGGAAAGAAAGTCTCAAAATCCAAATAAATCAAATAGGATTGACTCAGAAAAGAAATCACCAAATGCACACATGCCACTTAATCCACAAATGCACATCTTCCTCGTTGTATGCGCAAATTATGATACACTAATGGAAAAGAAAACTCAAGCATGTCTCTATTTGTACCGCTGCACATTCATGTCATTTTGAATTACACAGACACATCTTGAAAGGCATTTGGTTGTGTATAGTGAGATACATTTGCAACTTTTATCAAGTTCTTGGATAATTGTGTATACATTTGTTAGTAATTTTGAGACTAAGTTCATCCCAGAGTTTGGCACTACTATAGTTTCCCGTTTTTTAAACAGCAATCCATCTGTATAACTCTAAATGTCCAGTACTGCTGTATGGATTTTGGTACTTGAGACAAGAATGTGTCCATTACATTAACAACTCCTTCCATTCCCTCCAGATGCTGAGACAAACACCTTTGGAATGCCTCTGGGGCTGATGAGATCCCAAACGGAGGCCGTGAAAGCTGTACCTCCCTAAGGGTGTGTTAAATGTAGAGCTTAGAGCTCTTATCATCCAGCCGAATCTACCAAAATCCCTGATTGGCATCCACCACTGAGAATATCTTGGCTCTTGGCATTCCTCAAGTGTTTTGAGAGGATAGTGTTCCCTTATTGTTGCTCTATTTAGATCTTTAGGGCCTATGCAGATACTAATCTTGTTGGGTTTTATTATTGTCACCATACAGTTTACACATTCTGTGGGCTCAGTCTGTTTTTGATGATTCCTATCTCTTTCAGACATTTCAGTTCTCTTTCAATGTCTTTTTCAGGGCCACTGGAACTTTCCTGGGAGGATGAATCACTGGCTTTGTCCAAATGTGATGGACTCCCGTTACACAACCCAGTCCTGTTAAATAAATCTTTAAATTCACTCAGAATATCTGTTGAGTTATATCCTTTTATTTCATACATCCTTTTTAACTACACCCAATGTGTTGCATGATTCTCTGCCCAGAACTGCACAAGCTTTTTGCTCATCTACAGCTTGACTTTGTATTGGCATTGAAGGCTTTGCTTACCCAAGGGTGACATCTTGTGGCCTGAATATGTCACTAGATTACATCGTGATTTTCTCATGTCGTTTATGTCCATTTTCAATGCTTTCAGATCACGCAATGATATGACACTACAGTCTGCACCGGTGTCTAACTTTACAATCAGTTTCTGGTTGTTTACCTGGACTGGTTTAATCTTATAATTGTGGCCATTCCTGGAATATTTATTTTTACAGATAAGAGGGAATATCACAATTTCAATGTTTTATTGGATGTTCATATGAATCAGTTTGGTATAACACCACTTGTTGGATTTGTGCTGATTAGATGAAGTCGAAGCATCAAAATTTACACAACTAAGAGTATTCAGTTAAACCCTGCTCATTTTTTTATAATTATCACCCGCTTTTCCTCTGTCAACCTCTCAGGCTTTTGGTTAATACAGGTTTGTTAACTGGTTTTGGATAACAGATGAACCGGATGTCTTCTGACGGCATCTGCTAAAGATACTGTAATATTTATTAAGAGAATGCAATATTTCTGGTGATGACATTTGATCTAATAGTATTGAATATGACCTCTTATGTGTTAGCCAAATTGAACATGTTAAATCAGTACATGTTAGTAAAGGAGTTGCATATGGAGAAACCAATTTTAAATGTTATACTGATTTTAAACCAGATGTTTGATCACAAATGCAGGCACTGGATTTTAGTAGGTATTATGGCAATATGTACTGAAAGCTTTCAAACTTGACAAAATAAAAGTTTGATAAATCATTTATTTATATTCGTTACTAATTACTTAATGGGGTAACTGTTGAAGTGTATTTTAGTCGAGAGGAACAAAGTCAGATTCAGGCATTAAAGCAGTATCTAAGATCAGGCTTTAACAAGTCCGAGGATGCATTCAACAAAAAATATAATGAAGAAATGGGAAAATATATGTTTCCGCTGGCTTGAACTATTAGCTTAATAGTTCGAAAAACCTACATTTTTGAACTCGTCCTAGACAGTTCATTCGATTTTCACCAAAATTGACACCGATCATCTTCAGACCATCTTGGCAAAAAGTTATCAAATTGGACATGGCCAAATTGGACATGAGGCTGTACCTCTCCAACACTTTGTCATATTCAGACCAAACTTGGTGTGTGTTATGATAACCATGACCTGAGGTTACTTGCACAGTTTCACTGCAGCGCCACCTAGTGCTCAGGAAATATGAAAAATGGCTATTTTTGCTTATATCTTCTAAACAGTTTGGCCAAAAATCACAAGACTGGTCTATTTAGATTGATACCCAATTTTACGAATGATTTGACATATCATTAAATTTTGATATATCACTTAATTTGGTAGTTCATTTTTGATTGTTTTGTTTTGTTAGTGCTTTAATTTCTTTATTGTTTTGCTGATCATATCAGATCCCATTGTCATTTTAATCATGACAACTTAGGGAATAGTTTTAGCATGTTAACGGAGCATGCTAGGTGTATGAAAATCAGTAGATCTGTGCAGGTGGAGCTGGGGGAGGCGGAGGGTTTCAGAGGTACTCTGATAGCGCACTACAGAGAACCAACTAATAGCAAACCCTGAACCAGACTATTTAAATGTTGAGCAATCTTGTGGTCTGCAGAATCATCAGAAGCCAGTCGATCTGTGCCATGTAAATGATGTGATTGCTAACAGATTGCATGTAAAGAATCTATCAGCCTGCACCATCTAGAGTTTCATGATTTTAATATTCGTTCAATTTTGAGTATATTGGGAAACTTTAGTAGCTAGTTATTATTTTCTTTGGACCTGTTGCTCCAATTACTGATGCATAGCATGGCATCAAATGTGAAATTTTGTTTTGCAGTCATTCTTAATGTTCGTTTACCATGCATACAGAGGTAAATTGTATTTACTGGACACCTGGATTGAAACTCAAAACCATCTGGTCACTCTGTCAATACACTACTATCCTCAGGTGTTACAGATAGACAGTGGGGTAAAGTGAGACACTTTCTGATCACCTGTCATTGGATTTGTTTCTAAAACTACAAGCTACATCAATGCCATCTGTGCTGGATTAAGAAGAACTTCATGTTAATTTTAGTCAGAAGAATATCATGACAGATGACAGAGCACAAGCATCCTGCTTTACCTGCACTGACTCTAATTCTGTCCATGATTTACACTAAAAGCAAAAAAGTTTCAAAATTCCACTAATACACTTAAAGAACAGCAGATGTCTTGTGAGATGAGAACTTGCTGCAGCGAACCCTCTGTGATGATAATCGTGTTATTATGATTTGCATCAGGGTGAGAGTGATCATGATTCAGCTGGCAGAGTGTGCTGGAATGGAAGAGCGTTTTAGAAGACCCTTTCCTCCTAAAGCTCACTAATCACCCACACACACAGTATTTACTGTATCTGTGGCACGGCAACAACCGAGGCAGGCTTCATTTATCTGCTCATGTTGCTAGGTTACATGCTGAGATGTGGGCTAGTGCGATGCGTTCTGGACAGCAAGTGAACAGTAAGATCATGTGAGAATACCTTCTGAAACACTGCCACATCCAGATCATTATGCTGCCTTAACAAAGCCAGTGTACTGTTATTGTAGAGACGTGGCTTAGGGTTTTTCAGAGTCCATATAGCCTCTTTCTGACTAACTCATGCTGGAGCTTTCAAGCTTCATCCCCAGATGTGCCTCAGACCTTCAGTCTGTTCTGACATATAGTAAGGCCCTTTCACACTAAGAAGGATATTTATAATATAACCATCCACACCAACGCACAATAACGTTCAGTTTATTCTAAGCGTGCATTGCCATTTTTTCATCTGTGGCTTTAAATGCTCGAGCTCTTTATAGCAGAATGGATTCTGATTGTCAAAATTTTTATCATTTATCAGCTGTAAAAAAAATTGTTCTGACGGTGATTCCAGTTATATAGTTCTTCTGTCATTACCGTTACAGCTGTGGTGTACAGAATTAAAGTGATTGTTGACACTTTAGGGCTGGTTCACACAAAATGCGTTGTTCCATTCCACCTTTCTACTTTTCCTCTTTTTCTATGTAAGCGTGCACTGTCTCGCGTCTTTTGCAGCATATCACTTTTAAAAATGTGCCTTGAGACCTTTTTCTCCACTGCCCATGTCTCATGTTCTGTGTGAATGGCCCCTTGCAGTTAGCAATACTCTTGGTGTGAACATGCCTGACGGTTTTCCATTCGTGGCTAATCAAAAATGACTTTAGCAACTAACAAACAATTGTATATCAACCACCCAGAACAACTGTGCAACCATATAGTAGTGAAGTTGATACCACACTCGCAGCAACTAATAAAACATTAAAGTCCCCATGAAATCAAAATTAAAGTTTTTTGGGTGTTAGTATCAATAAGCACATAGTGCACAATGTAGGCGATAGGGAACAATTCAGATAGTGTAAATATGCTTTCGATTGGGGCAAATGAGGTCTGGTTTCACGTTGTATACTAAGAGTTTCATATTGAATATAGGGGGTAATATATTAGACTGTGGCTGTCAAATGCGGCTTTACCGAGCTCAGCGGCTCTGACCCGTGCAGATATAAACAAAACGCTATTGACTAATTTAAAAAGGGGGCGGGGCTGCTCGATATGTCCTGCGCTGTCTTCTTGTTTCAATTGAAATTACGTCACCACATAGAATAACACTGCGTGTTTCAAGGCACTTCAGGGGACCTTTAAACTTTCAAAGTTCAAGTGTGTCTTCAAACGGCATAAAGTACACATCAGCATCAAACCTTCAGAACGTTCAGGTGCGATGCTGTCAAGCCAACATTCAAATGAAGTTTGCTTTGATGAACCTTCCTAGTTAGTTTGCCCTTAGAAAGTGTAAAACATGACATCATGCTTGATATAATGTAGGTGTCTTCTCATTTGAAAAGCAAAGCACTCTTGTGAATAGACTTAATGCACAAAACACTTAGGGTGGGTTGCACCAACAAGGATTAATTTAAGTAAAGTTTAGAGCTAATCAAGGATTTGTTGATCTGGGTTTTATTTTAAATCGAGTTGTGTTGCACCACTTAATTTTAAACACAGATTAACAAATCAGGGATTAGAATTCTAACCTGCGATTAAAACCTCCATCTACGATTAATTTTCTCCACCATGATGGATTCGCCATTGCAGTTAAACAGGAACAATGTTAATATTCCTAATCCTTCTTTGCTTACTACCAAACTCTCTTTCTGAGATAAGTTGCTCGTGTCAATAAAGGAAATAAACTTGTAAAATATCTGCCGTCATAATAAACTGCTACCGTTATTCAAACGGCTGATCAAGCAAGCAATGAATACATTTAGGCAGTGCATACGGATTTCATAATCCTGGAAATATATTTATAGTATCAATTAATGGAGTATAACTTATGACAAAACAACCGAGATAAGAGAAAACAACTGGCATGGCCCTTAGTTTAGTTTTGTTTAGTTTTGCTAGTGCTTTAATTTCTTTATTGCTTTGCTGATGATATCAGATCCCATTGGCATTTCAATCGTGACAACTCTCAGAATAGTTTTAGCATGTTAACGGAGCATGCTAGGTGTATGTAAATCAGTAGATCTGTGCAGGTGGAGCTGGGGGAGGTGGAGGGTTTCAGAGGTACTCTGATAGCGCACTACAGAACCAGCTAAGAGCAAACACTGAACCAGAATGAAGTTTGCTTTGATGAACCTTCCTAATTAGTTTGCCCCTAGAAAGTGATAAAGCATGACATCATGCTTGATATAATGTAGGTGTCTTCTAATTTGAAAAGCAACGCACTCTTGTGAATAGACTTAATGCACAAAACACTGCCTGTTCATGACTCAT